AGAGCGAGAGCGAGCTTTGTGTGCTTGGTGTTGTGTGTGTGTTTATACAGACATCTTGGCTGTGTGGATTGTATAGCTCTAGCGGGATCGGGCGCGGCGGGCAGAAAATGGAGCGGGTTCTCAGGTTAAAACCTGCCGGGTGCGGGCGGAAGCGGGAGCGTTGTCGTCCGGAGGTGTGTGTGTGTGTGTGTGTTTTTCTGTGTGTGTGGCAGCTAAAATCCACGCCTACACTATCGAGCGTGTATGAACTGTGATTACTTTTTATATTGCTGATTAGCTATTGGCCATTTCACTCTCTGACTGAAGGCAGTCGACCAATCGCAACAGACTGTCATCGGTCCAATCAGCGCAGATTAGCTTCGCGCTAAGGAGGGGTTTGGGAACAAATGGATCACTGGACGATTCATACAGGAGTCGCTGGGATAATTAGGTAAAAATAAATGCAGATTACAAGACCACGAAAGTGTTTTTTGACCTTGCATGCATATTAGACTGTTGTTGGAGACCCTTACAACCAAGATATGACCCTATTTCATGTATAATATGGGCTCTTTAACATGATCATCAAAGTGAATGGATGAATAAAACTAGCGCACGTATTACACTGGCAAAAATAATCATCATGATTATGAATGTGTTGCTTAAATGTGTGTATAAACGCATATAATGCGAAATGCTAATTTGGGTATTGTAAGAATGAAGATGCATATTTGTAGTGAGCTTTTTTGTGGTCAAAGTTTGCATAACCGAAGATTGATCTTATCCACCTGTGAACCACCCATAAGTAAATATGCTGACAAATTTTTGATTAGCTGACCGGAGCAGTAACAGCACCCACTAATATAACTGAGGAATCATGTGGGATAAACGTGATAGCGGGATTAAATGGTAAAATACAGGGGAATCTCGACAAAAACGGCAGGGTTAAGTTGCCTAAATAAATTTTCCGGTAATAGGTCGGTAAAAATATATTATATAGCATCCTCTTTTTGATAGACGTTGTCAAACATTCTGCCCAAATGCTCAGGAGAAACCTAATCATATTGACATTTCCCTAGGCTATATGACACTAGATAGGTAATTTCCCTTTATTTAAGAGAATAGTTTAAGGATGTTGCATATTATTTGGTTATCAAGGCAATTGTTAAGTGTTGCCGGACATAAGTGCAAGTAATAAAATATAGACTAGGCTAAAGCCTATATTTTATTCATTCATTCATTTTCTTATCAGCCTAGTCCGAACCGCCAACTTATTGAGCAAGTTTTTACACAGAAGATGCCCTACCAGCCGCTACCCATCTCTGGGAAATAGCCTTTATTTCCTTGCGCTCAACAGCTATAATAAAGCCTAACATTTATTTTATTTAATTTTTTTATTTAACCACGCCAGACAAAAACATTAACACTTGTTTGCTCAGGACTGGATGACAGAAAAGAAGGTAGGTTTCTGATGGTTTTACTCTCCCGAAAAGTGCTCTGTTGGTGGGATTTGATTAATGTCATCTTATCCAAATGCTTCATATTTAATATTTCAAAACTCTTTTGTTGTGTATTGTTTTTTGTACATATAATTTAGCGATGCCCCATATGGTCCAAAATCAGACACGTGGACAAATCTAAGCTTGTTTTTAATAACACAAATATAAATATGCATATAATAAACAATACTGCTGCTAATAATAACATTATAAAAAAGCAAGTTGTCATTAATGAACTAAAAACAAGCCACCCAAGATGAAGAAGGCATGGAGGCAGCAGTTTTTATATTTATGTAGAAAATAACAATTTTTGTAATATTTTAATCCTTTGAAACAGTTGCTGTAACAACTTGTCTATTGCTACTTTGCAACAAATTTTTTGTAAAAAAAAAGAAAAAGAAAGAAAGCTAAAGGATTAGGGTAAGTTGATAAATTTAGGCTACTGTATACAGTACAGACTATTGTCATATCCAAAAGATTCACACCTTTGCAGTCTCACCCACATTTCACAACCTGTATGAGCCCATAAAGGCCGCAAGTGCCACAGACCCTGTAGAACTTTTCTTAGCTGATCTTCTGCGTGACCTATTTAGTCATTAATAACAGCTCATCTTTTTACGGAAAGAGGACCAGAAACTCAAAAAGGGTAATTATTATACCATTCTGTCTTTCCGTTATCTCCTTCATGATTATTTGTACTGTGTTTTCCTACATTTCATGTTTTAACATCATTTTAACTTACTTAAGAAAACAGTGGAGAAGAGGGTGAAGAAGCGCATGGTCTCCAAAATAGTGGTAATTTAATAATATATATGTATAATAAAAAAAATATTTTCTGAAATCAACTCGGCTGGCCCGATTCCAAATTCAAGTTGTTAAACCAATTTACTGTTCCACCAAACATTAATATACACCATAGTAGCATGTAGGCTATAAAAAGGCAACATATCGACTCATGAGCAAGATGATTGACATATAATATTTGTAAATGAGTGGTTGGTAAAACCTCTTGGTTCACCGCAAATCTTGCCTTAAAAGGAAAGTGCATAATTTAGCCTTACCCTGAGTTTGTTTACACTCTGCCTGTAATAACATACATGCTGTATTTTAATGTGGCTAATTTGGATGAATTGGCTCTGACTTTTGACAGCTTTTTCTTCTTTTTACGCAGTTATGCGAGAAATTATATTTCACACGCAAGATGACTAAAAATTGAAATTAAAATACCAAAGATACTGAGCCATTACTACAAGTAAAAAACCAAACAAAAAAACAAAACTACAATTATACTTTAAAGGAGAACATTGACGTTTCGAAAAAAAAATGAACTGAACTACAACTAAATTATTAAAAATAAACTTGCGGGACTTCATTTATGTCCTGCGGCAAAATTTTTTTTTTATATATACTTTTAGTGATCTGCTTGAGGTAACATAAATAAAAATGTAAATGAAGATATAAATGAAAAAGCTTATTAAATGACTGTCCTAGTCCTATCAAAATAGCAAACAACATCTTTTTATATTTAGGCTAAAAGACTGCTTTATTTATTTATTTAGGCCTACATATTTGTTATGAATGTTTGTGCTTATATTTTAGTTGTCTTTTATTTCTTCAATTCTACTTTCCAAAATTAATCCTCATTGCACTTAACAAGTTTACAACGATAATAAAGCGTGTTAACAAATGTTTAATGATTAATGAAGGAATTATAATGCTTTGTTTTATCGTTTCATCTTTATTTATAAGAACAGTAGCATATTTACAGCTGCTGTATAGGCTATTTCTGTCTGTTAGCATCCCTTTGTGCCCCCTGGCGGCATATTCACAGACTGCGGTCATACATTAAAAACTCGTGCTTGTCCATTTAAAGCGGCGGCGGTATATGCCACGGCGGTAATAGCCACATTGAACTCTCAACTACTGTAAATCATTCTAACATGTACAATACAGACAAAAAAAGCAGTGGCAATGGTTTGGTTATTAGATTTGTTTATGGATCTTGAAAAAGCCACCATTTTTATATGTAAGCACAGAGTACCCTTTTAGTCATAACAGGAAATATGGATGACAATGAAGGAAGTTAATGACACACAAACACATCTCAAGAAGGTTTTCACAGCTACTGTGTTTTATCCAACAACCATTGCTCCCAAGTTGAAGTGAGACCTTCAAAAACGACCCAGGTGGGACTTGAACCCACAATCCCCAGCTCCGGAGGCTGATGCCTTATCCATTAGGCCACTGGGCCACGTCACTAATAGAACAAACATTTTATTTCTGCTATCATTCACATTCGCGTCACATCGGTTCTGGGGTATGGTTCTAGCGTATAGTGCGACTGGTCTTGAGAGTTTCAAATTCCAGTCAAGGCCACTCTCATTAACTTGAAATCACAACCTTTCTGCAGCTATTTTCTTGTTTGCATTTCATCATCATCCACCTAACATGAGACCGTTAGTTAAGAGCCATGGGGTACTTGAAGTCAAGATCTCCATTACTAGAGCTTAGCGGAACCTTTTAGGTTTGTAACGTGACAGTGAGATTCAAGCAAGAATGGATGAATCTTAATTGAAGTGTGCAGCAAGTCTGAGAATTCGAAGCTATTGTCCTCAGATCATCACACCTAAGCTTTGAGTAGACAAGCCAGGATTTTTTCACACAACTTAAATGTAACCCATAAAAACACAACCCGAACAGGACTTGAATCCACAATCCCCAGCTTCGAAGGGTGATGTCTTATCCATTAGGCCACTGGGCCAATACTAGCATTTGTTATATCTGTTGTATGACTCATGAAGTTCTTGTAACTCAGAAAGCAGCACGGATCCCTATTGCTTTCAGATGATCTGGTGTGTACACCTAATGACCAAACAGCTTCTCTGAAGAGTTTTCCATTGTCATGTTTTTTTAAACCCAGAGAAACAGTTAAGGGGTCTGTTTTTCCACGTGCGAAATAATCTGTTTTTCCCCCTACATCACTTTTCTGAGCATCTTTTGCAAATGACTCTGATAGTATGTTTGTCACAAATTGGCTCCTTTAAAAAGTAGATACATTCTTTTGATATATCCCTAACAATTTATTTTATTTACAGATTAACTATGTTATTGATAAGTGATGTTTACATGGAGAGAAGGTAATGCATAGTTGACATTAATTTTCATTAAAGTAATTTTTTGTCCCTTTTACAGAGAGACTCGCCAGATATTCCAGATTCTTCACTGCACTTTGCATCTTGGTGAGTGTTGGATAACATTTTTATTTCAAAAATTGAGAAAACAGTAGTTGTTGCTTTGACCTAATTTGTTCTATTTTCTTTATTTTTCAGGTTTCCTGTGAAAAATAAAACAACTACTTCTGTTGTTTTATTTTTCATTGTTCTCCATTTTTACAGGGATAACGTTTCTTTTGTTTTAATAAACTTAGCATTTTGTAATTTATATATTCTTTTTTTTTTTTGTTTTTTTTTTCTGCATTTTTTTTATATAATTTTTTTTTTTTTTTTTTTTTTAAGAAAAAAAACTTTCAATATTACACACTGTACTGTCTTCTATAGTTGCTAACCTCTGTTTTCTTCCAGATACTACAGGTTTCATCTTCTCAGGTTCTGCAGTGCTTTGCATCAGGGGAAGTTTTAAAGTATGTGCCAAAGAGAAAATGATTGGTTTGCTTTCTAAATGTCTCCTAATGTGGCCAAAGTCACCTCATATCCTAAAAAGTACTATGCATAACTACAGGCCTAATTGTAATCCCAGAGAAACGGTTAAGGCAGACATGTCCAAACTCGGTCCTGGAGGGCCAGTGTCCTGCACAGTTTAGTTCCAACCCCAATCAGACACACCTGGGCTACAGTGGCGTAGCGGATGGGCCCGCAGGGCACGCACCGCGGGGGGGCCCCGCGTGATTAGGGGGCCCCGCGTCGTCGCGATTTTCAATAATTGAAAATCAACTGGCAACCGCAATAATCAAACTCTTGGGAACAACTGTGGTCGGAACCAAAGTTCACAGGTCTGTGTTCTCTGAACACCTCTCAAGCGGTGGACTACTTCATTCTGATTGCTTGCCGCCAATGTTGCCAACTTAGCGACTTTGTCACTAGATTTAGCGACTTTTCAGACCCCCCTAACGACAAATCTAGCGACTTTTTTTGTGTGTTATTGGAGATTTTTTTAGACTCACTTGTCCATACTGTACCGTCCCTACTCTTCTCAACGAGCTGCGTGTGATGCCGCCGACCCCTCCCCCGCCTCACAGCACTGACAGGCGGCCCAGTCAGTCCGCGTACAGCAGCCTCTCTCATCTGCAGCCCGAGAGCAGATCACCCCTCTGCGTACCGACGACAAATGATTTAGCACAGGCAGTGTGAAGGTATTTCCCTTGTACAGTCAAACCGATCTACTTCTACTTTATTTTAACAATTTAATTGGACCGTTTATTCTTTTCTTGTACACAATCACAGATATTTTAGTGACAGTTTCTGAACTTGTCTGAGTTTATTACATATGAGAGATTACTGCACGTTCACTACACATCTATAATGACATACTGTATTCAAACAGCAATGAATTTAGTTTAATAAACATGCTTATATAAAGTGTAGTGCAATTATAAATACCCCTTTATTAACCATAGGCTGTAAAACAAACAGAAACGGTAAAACGTGATGACGTCAGTGATATGCAAATTGGCGTATGACGTATCCCCCCCCCCTCTTCATCAGGGGGCCCCGTCAGCGATCCCTGCAGGGGGGCCTCCGCATTTTGCGCTACGCCACTGCTGGGCTAGCTAATCAAGCTCTTACTAGGCTTTCTAGAAACATCTTTGCAGGTGAGTTGAGGCAAGTTGAAGCTAAAATCTGCAGGACACTGGCCCTCCTGGACCGAGTTTGGACACCCCTGGGTTAAGGGGTCTGTTTTTCCTCCTGTGAAATAATGTTCTGTTTTCTCCTTATATCACTTTTCCGAGCATCTTTTGCAAATGACTTTGATTGTATATTTGTCGCAAATTGGCTCCTTTAAAAATTGATATGCTTTTGATACATCCCTAATAATTTATTTTATATACAGATTAAGTATATTGTTGAAAAGTGATGTTAAACATGGAGAGAAGGTAATGCATAGTTCACATTAATTTACATTTAATGTTGCTTTTTGTTCCTTTTCAGAGAAACTCACCAGATATTCCAGATTCTTCAGATACTACAGGTTTCATCTTAGGTTCTGCAGTGCTTACATCGGGGGAAGTTATAAAGTATGTGCCAAAGAAAAAAAACATTTAGTTAGCTTTCTAAATGTCTCGTATTGTGGCAAAAGTCACCTCATATCCTAAAAAGTACTTTGATATAACATAATTTCTGTACATTTAATTAAGTTTATTTTCAACACGTAAATAATTTTAGTTTGGTGTGTCTGAAAAGTGTTATTCCACGGAATATGGATTTTTAAATTAAAAAAAAAAAAACATTTGCTATTTTGTAAAAAATAAGTACAGACATGCCTAGAAATACAAAAAAGTGTAAAAGTAGTTAAGAGTGAAACAAGAATAGGTATAAGTTGTAAACCCAGAGCACAAGTTAAGGACTCTGTTTTTCCTCCTGTGGAATAATGGTCTGTTTTCCCCCTATACATCACTTTTCCAAGAATATTTTGCAAATGACTCTGATAGTATATTTGTCGCAAATTGGGTCCTTTAAAAAAAATAGATAAATGCTTTTGATGTATCCCTAACTATTTATTTTATATACAGATTAAGTATATTATTGATAAGTGATGATGTGTAACCTGGAAAGAAGGTAATGCATAGTTGACATTAATTTTCATTAATGTTATTTTTTGTCCCTTTTTCAGAGAGATTCTTCAGATACTACTGGTTTTCATCTTGTCAGGTTCTGCAGTGCTTTCATCGGGGGAAGTTTTAAAGTATGTGCCAAAGAAAAAAACATTTAGTTAGCTTTCTAAATGTCTCGTATTGTGGCAAAAGTCACCTCGTATCCTAAAAAGTACTTTGATGTAACATCATTTCTGTACATTTAATTACATTTATTTTTAACACGTAAACATTTTTATTTTACTCATATTTTATCATTTTTCTCATTTTATTTGAAAAAATTCACTGTAATTTTGTGATTTTTAAATACACATTTATAAAATGCAAAACACCTTAAAAAAAAACTCAATGAAAACTTGACCAACATAACTGTGTGTGTAATGTAAATGTAAACATTTGTACATACAAGATACTTTCTTAATAATTTTTGTCTTCATGCTTGTAATGGCATATGTTCCCAGAGATCCACCTTCCTGCCTTCCAGCTGCAATCTTGATTAAACACATTGGTCTTTGATTACCAAGTGCTCCTTCAGATTCTTATGGTGCTTTCACACTAGCATTTTAGGTCCGCACCTGAGTTGTTTGACATCTCAATACGATACGTTTGGCTAGTGTTAACGGATAGACGCGAGTTAAGCAGGTTGCACACCAGAAGCGCCGCGCGGCGACACGGCACGTACATGACAGTTTGAAGTATCACACACAAGACGCGCACATTCGAATGATATTTAACATGGAACTAATTAGATGGCGCTCTGTGGCGCGGCTGAAAAATGAACTGCGTCCTGAGCTGTTGCCGGGCGCCGCCAACAGCCGCCGATTTGCGGCGCCAGTGTGTGTATCCTGATAGAAACCTATGTTTAGAATTCTAAAATGCGTGGCGCTGCGCGACGCGCCGCCGAGCGGCGCTTCTGGTGTGCGACCTGCTTTACACTCTGTACGTTCAAAACCAAAAGAGTCAGTAAAAGCAGAACGACCGCCATGTGGTACATCTTTCCACAGCTTTGCTGTGTGTCCGTCACCTAGCAACAGCCGTACACAAAACAACAGCCCGATGATGCAAGCAAACTGTGGTTCAGAAGGAAAAAAAGGCAGTGTGATTACAAACAAGCCTAGAAGATGGCAAGGGGGAACAATTAAACTTAAGGTCCAGGCGATTGAACCAAGTGTGAAAGCACCCTTAGTTAATTTAGTTGAGTTTGATCAGCATTAAAGCTGAACTCGGTATTAAAAACAAGAGCTTTTCATTTTGGCATTTATATATATATATATATATATATATATATATATATATATATATATATATATATATATATATATATATATATATACACACACACACACATGTGTGTGTATTTGTTTTAGAGTTGTGTTTTTTTGTTTTTTTTTCCAGCATGCCACGAAAAGGGAAGAGATCTCAGGCTCAGAAATTGCGCTGGAAAAAGATAGACCTTCAAGATGTAAATACCAGCCTTTCCTGCATTAAAGAGGTAATAATGAAATATGTCTGTAATTTTTAGAAGATTTGTGCATGAGTTAAAGCAGCCATTTACAAATTTAATGAATTTTTTTATTACACAGTGAATTATTTTCCCGTCACAAAGCCTTAATGGGATAGTTTACCCAAAAATGAAAATTCTGCTATTTACTCTTGACATGCATTCAAAGCATTCTGTTGAGCACCGTATAAGATATTTTAAAGAATTTTGGAAACCTCTAACCATTGTCTTCCATGGTTACAAGTTTACAACCTTATTATTATTATTATTATGTTTAAGAAAAATAAATTGTGTATTATTGAACTTAAAGGCTTTTGTTTGGAAGTGATTGCAGAATTGTTACATTTGGGCGAGAATTCCATTAAATTTCTCTTAATTACAATAATTCGTAACACTTTATAATAAGTACAAACTATGAACCATTTATTAACAGGGTTTCCGTGGGGTCTTAAAGTCTAAAATTTAAAAATCTAAATTTAAGGCCTTAAAAACTTTTAAAGTCACTGTTCTAGATCTTACATATTTTGCACGGGTCTTATTTTTCCGATGTCAACACTACATCTAATGCTTATTTTAGATGTTTTTGTGGTGTTGTACTTTACTTCACTAGTCCAATTCTTATTTGCGTTATTATAACTACAAATGAGACCAGCATCCACTAGCTTAATTGCATGTGGTGAATGTTACGTTATCGCTGTGTTTGCGAAGGTTTGCTTTGGGTGCACACATCTTGATTTCGGCTGGCGGAGCTCACAAAATGTTTTGAGACTCGAGTGAACAGTTTGTGCAGCACCGCGTTTGATTTCAGTTGAATATGAAACACTTTGAAGAGATTTGTTGCCCCTTGTAGAATCTGTTACGGTGTGTGTTGTGGTAATTGTCTGAAAAAAAAAAAACAATATTGTTTTGGAATGTTAGGGTAATACTTTATCAAATAAGTCTCATGCAAATAATCACACTGTATGTATAATGACAATACACATAAATGTACAGCATGTATGTCTGTGTATACACGCATACATATACATTTATGCATACATGTACGCATGTGTGTGTTTATATAGCCCTGTTTAAACCTGGTTTCACCTCCCAATGCACAATAATAGGTTGTTATTTTATTTAATTGTTATTGTTGTCTTTTTCTGGCCACTTTATGTAAGTGGACAACTAAATAGAAAAACACATTTTGTATTCTTCTTTTGGAAAAAAAAGATTAAGTTTTGATAAGCTTTGGTTTCAAAAACGATAATGCCACTTGTATAAAAACAATTTTGTCTAACAATCTAATAAAGTACATGTTTTTTGCAGGTTGAACAAACGAGTACCAGTGCTGCTGTAGGCCAGTCTCCTGTTAGACAATATGAGGAAAGTGGGGGTAATGAACCCAAAGTTGTGTCAGTCCGGGCGTCTCATTCTCAGGCTGATGTTCGATATGATGAATTCTCAAGGAATCACCAGTGTACCTGTGTGTCACTGACATTCTTGGCCAGTCACAGTGCAGGGCATCAGTTTAAGATGTCGGATCTTGACAGAGTTTTAGAGGAAGGGGATGCCTTGTATGTCAGCGTTAAAATGCAGCTCATCGCTGAAAACAGATTCAGTCATGACTATCTGTCCATGGAGGAAGTACCTTTTGGACTTTCAACATTTAACCAAACATACAATGTTCAGAAGTCGGAAGTCAAGGTTGGATTTTTTCGAGCCAAAGGTTCCCCTGACACGGAAGAATGGTTTTTGCCTCTTCCTGAAAGACTGCAGTGTCTCGCAGTGGATGTCACGCATGCACTTTTAATAGTTTCTTCAGAATGCATTGCGGTGTTTAGAGATGGATCAGGCAGATATGGATTCTTTGATCCACATTCAAGGACATTTGAAGGAGAAGAGGCCCTGGCTGGTGTTGGAACAGCTGTCATGTTAACTTTTACTCGCCTAAGTGACATGACTGACCAAATTCTTAAGCTCTTCAACCATTGCCGTGATGACCAATCCTATGAATTCATGTCTGTGTCTTTTGAAATGGAGCAACAGGCAGGCCAGCAGCCTTCACCATCAGCTCGTGAACCAATTTCACAAGTAATCTCAGTTCTACCAGAACCAGATGGAAATGCAGCTGTTCCCAGAGGAGCTGAAAGCCGCCAACCCATGGTAGCCAGAGTAAATAAGGCACGGAGAAGAAAAGAATTGCGTAAAGCAATCGATAATTTAAAATCCAAGGACACAGCTAAATCTTATGTGAACCGAAAACACAAACAAAGAGATGATGAGAGGGGCCAGTATTCCGCCTGTTTGCAGTATCTGACAAATAAAAAAGAAGCTCTTAAGTAAAAGTATGGTCAGGATGCTCTCATTAGAAACAAAAAGAAAAGCTACATGGCTAGACGATACAGAGAGGAGATTGTCCGATCTAAAAAGAAGGAGGATATGATGAGACGATATCGCACAGATCCTGTATTTCAGAAAAAAAGAGAGCATACATAGTCCGTAGGGACAGTACCGATGCTGTCTTTCAGAAAAAAATGCTTAATCAACAACGAAAACATACAGGCCTAAGGGTATGAACCTAGCTTTTTGAAGGTCACACTGGATTGCGCTGCAACAGATACCTAAAAGGAACCGCATCAAAGACAACCCAGGTGGGACTTGAACCCACAATCTACTTCTAATCTAAATTAGTCGAACATGTACAATTATACCGACAAAATAGTTTGCTACCCTCAGGCAGATGGTTCTGCCGCATCCGGTCACGTACCAGCTGGCTGATGGAAAGTTTCTTCCCTCCGACTATCAGGCTGATGAACACTTAACACACCACACACAGACTCTACCATACCCTCACTGCACACCATCAATATGTAGCATGCACTGCACTTTAACCAATCCATACTTGAAACAATACTGCCTACAACTATGTGGACATCTATTCATTGTTCACATCGCTGTCAATTTCACATTGTCGTTGTATTTGCACTGTCTGTATTTTGCACTGTCATTTCATTTGCACTGTCTGTATTTTGTACTGTCGTTGTATTTGCACTGTATTACTCTGTATTTTGTGCTGTCTGGAGCCAGCACCTAAGCTTTTCACTCATCATAGCACACATGCTGCTGCTGATGTGACAATAAAAGTGAGTTGATTTGAAAGAAAGTAGTGGCAATGATTCAGTTGTTAGATTTGTTTATGGATCGTTCTAATAAGGATGACAACGAAGGAAGTTAATGACACGCAAACACATCTCTAGAAGGTTTTCACAGCTACTGTGTTTCATCCAACAAACATTGCTCCCAACTTGAAGTGAGACCTTCAAAGACAACCCAGACGGGCCTTGAACCCACAACGCCCAACTCCAGAGGCTGATGCCTTATCCTTTAGGCCACTGGGCCATCTTACCAAGTTTTTGTCATGGAGCTCTTGTATGCCCTCAACAAGATGCCAACGCATGGAAAACTGCACTTTGGGATCTCGATGCCAGTTTGCATTCCATTAAATAAGATTTTTGCAACTAATGGACAAACATTTTCTTTGTGTAATCATCCACATTCGTGTCTCATTGGTCCTGGGGTATGGTGTGAGACTGGTCTTGAGTTTCAAATTCCAGACGAGGCCACTCTCATTAACATGAAATCACAACCTTTCTGCAGCTATTTTCTTGTTTGCATTTCATCATCATCCACCTAACATGAGACCATTATTTGAAAGCCACCGGGTACTTGAAGTCAAGATCTCCCTCCCTCTCTCTAGCGAACTATTGACCTTAGATCATCACGCATAAGCTTTGAGGAGACATGTCAGGATTTTTTCCATACAATTTATATGTAACCCAACAAACACAACTCAAATGGCACTTAAACCCACAATCCCTAGCTTTGAAGGCTGATTCCTTATCCATTAGGCCACTGGGCCAATACTAGCGTTTGCCATATCTGTTGTATGGCTCAGGAAGTTCTTATAACTCAGAAAACAGCACTTTAGGATCCCTATACCATATTGCATTCAGACGATCTGGTGTGTACACCTAATGACAAAACAGATTCTCTAAAGAGTTTTTCCATTGTCATGTCTTTTTGACCTAAGGGTATAAACCTAGCTTTTTGAAGGTCACACTGGATTGTGCTGCATAGCCAACTTAATAAGATCTGCATCAAAGACAACCCAGGTGGGACTTGAACCCACAATCCCCAGCTTCGAAGGCTGGTGTCTTATCCATTAGGCCACTGGGCCGTTTTTACTGCCTGTGAACTGTAATACACATCCAGGGAGTTGCTGACGCACATAACAAAAAACAACATGAACAAAAAGTAGATTGGACCGGTTTCACAGAATTTTTTTGTGGCACTGTCAAACAGACAAAAAAAGTAGCATCTTATAGGATTTCTTTGAAGGAATTCAATTAGAATTTTGATCATATTTTGGAACCATTCCTCTAGGATTGTTTTATAGTACAATACATAAAAATCCTTTTGGATAATTTCTACAGTATTTCAATGAGATAAAATTTATATCTTAATTAAGATATGCTTTTCTAATGTCTCTCTTAGCCTATTATACAATAGTTTTGAATGTATTATGCTGTTTGCTAAAGCTCACCTTCATGTACTTGAGTGTACAGTATTAGTGCTCAAATTTCCAAAGAAACATGTCTATACCAAAAACATATACAATGTTGCTAGACCAAACTGGGCTGGCCCACTCGAAACAGAAGTTCACTTTGGGCCCATAGCAAGTCCACACAAAGTGGAGTGTATATAGCCACAATGGGCAAAGTATAGGTATACTATCTGAGTCAGAAGTATGTCCTATAAGCATGCTCTGTGGGCATTTAGTAATTAACAAAACAGTAAGGTCCCACTAATACTAAGTTGAGTCCAGGCACAAAATGTGCCTATAAGGTCCCATTAAAGCACTTTTATGCTTGGCCATTGTGGCTTTAACACAAAACAAAACTAGTTCACTTCTACTATGTAGCAAAAAAGCACAATATCACTTCAAATGCATAGTTACATATTTTGAAAGCATAAAGAAAAATCAGTAATAAATGAAGCATCTAAAAATATAAAGACAACATGGACTATTTTTCAAAGGTTTGGGACAAAACTGCTTTAGTTTATAAAAATGCAGATATAAAAGTAACCTTGTAAATAATTATTCCTTTTTAATATGTTAGCTTTTCCATTTGAATATGTTAAAATATAATTTATTCCAATGATGTTAAAGCTGCATTTGAGGCATTTGTGTCCTACATAAAATAATTTGAGACAAAACAACAAAACATATAAAAATATACTTAGTTAAAAGAAAAACAAAGTAAGATTTTCATGTGTGTATTTTCTCTACCATTTGTACCTTAAAGGGTCACGAAACTCCAAAACACATTTTTTGAGCTGTTGATAGTCGTATATGTGTCCCACACTGCTAAAAACACTATTAGGACACAAATATTTCACTAAAAAGTGTAAATTGGTTGTTTTTGCGTTATTTCAAGCAAATTTGTACTTCCGGTTTGAAACTAATTTTTGAAGCTGCGTCTTAACCATGAGATAATAGCGTGTATTCCAGCGTGCCGACTGGATGTCTGTGCCAGAGTGTGTCTTATTACGTCTTACAGTGCGGCTTGAAGGACATCTTTTGCATTCAGAGCTGATTTCGTGAAGAGATCATCGCCAACACTGCTCAAAGTTTACCATGGAGGTGAAAAGGAAGCTCCCTGACCAGGAATTGAACCCGGGCCACAGCGGTAAGTCCTAACCACAAGACCACCAGCTGCTCTGACAAAAATAACTCTAACGTTTGCAACCTCCTCCTAGAGAAGAGAAAGTCTCAGAGCCTGGTTCAAAGTTCTTCTACGGAGGGACTGTCACATGCTCTGTGTAAAAGCATCCTATCGACACCACAACTTGCCATGACAACAAAGCACAGCATGCATTGAAGGAACTCCATGTTTACCGGGCCTTTGCTCTTTCCAAACAGCATGCTAATGAGCACTTGTTGCACAGTGTGTGCCAGTGGCGCAATGGATAACGTGTCTGACAACGGATCAGAAGATTCTAGATCTGACTTTTGGCTGGCTCGTTCAGGATTTATTGCATTGCTCTCAGTCAGTGCACTGCAGTTGCAGTTTGCCCCTGCCAGAGTTGTTTGGTTCTACTTTGGAGTGGATCAAGTTTCTGGGGCTGCCAGCACAGAGCCTGTGGGGTGCTCGCCTGGGTTCAAAGTCTGCCCCAACTGCTCTCATGTCTTGGTCCCGTACATCCCTCATGACTTCCAGAAGAAACCAGTACAGCCACTCTCCTGGGAAGCCAGCAGTGACAGCTTGTAAATCAAAATGTTTGCTGTGAGGCTAAGCGTTCTACTGCAGCACAGATACACATTCGGAAAGCGACAAGATTCAAAAACAAAGTGCCAACCTAAAACAAGATTGCAGTAAAAATGACCACCTCAGACAAGTGTGAGCAATGTTTCGGTCTCTGCTATATGTCTGCAAATATGCCACACAGTGCAGACGCTCATACTACTGAAAAGGAAGTTACCTGACTGAGAAAGGTATAAATATAAATCGGAGCCTGCTCCAAACGACCTGCTCAGCTCCAAGTCGGCTGTACAAACCTCCTGGAGTTTTCATTTATTCAGCGTCTCGTACAAGACACTGCGTCCAACCAGTTATGTTTGAATGTCAAACCAACCCCAATCCTTAACCCAACCTCACAGTTTCCTGCTGTGTTTTATCAACCTCCCAACCTACCCCAACTCTTAACCCAACCTCACAGTAACAAACCTCCATGTGGGTTTCATTGATTCAATGTCTCGTACATGGCACAGAATACAACCTATCGCAGTTTATTAAAATCACACCTACCCCAGCCCTAGGCCCAACCTCACGGTAACCTGCTGTGTTTTATTAAATTTTACTCCTACCCCAACCCTAAACACAACCTCAGGGTAAGCAGTTTATATATATTTTTTATTATTTTTATGAATGTCTACTACAGCTACATCAATCGCAAACCCAGCCTACGTGCGGCATAAGTGCCTTCCACTTAGAGGTCATCCAGCCAACTTGCAGTGTAATCTCCTCCACTTGTAGGTCTCTGAGCTGCAGCAACACCTAAGCGCTCTGACACACAGACACAAAAGAAACCATTGCTTTTAACCTACTCTTGGAGAGGAGAGAGTCTCCGACCCTGGATCTCAGGTCTTCTATGGAGGGACTGTCAGGAATCCTGTAAGAGCATCCCATCCACACAACCTCTTGCCATAAAAACAAAGCAGAATGTGTGGTGAAGGAACTCCGGGTTGACAGAGCCTTGTCCTTGCTCCAAGCAATGTGCTAACAAGGTGCTGAACAGAGTGACGGTGGCACAAAGGTTAGCGCTTATGACTACGGATCAGAAGATTCTCGGTTACGAAAACCAAGAAACTGTGTATGAGAGAGTGCGTAAGTGTATGAGTGGCACTTGTGCAA